GGGGCCATCTGGGGCACAAATATTGCTGGAGTGTCGAAGGGGTTTTGCTCGTGAGGCTTCTGGCTGACCGAGCAGGCAGCTGAAGTGCTCTGTGGGACTGGTTTGTGGCCTATTTGGGAGGGTCTCCAGTCTGGGGGCTATAGAGAGCCCTGAATTTGAGCAATTTGCCCTGAGCAGACACCCTCAGCTGTGCCCAGACCGGTCTGCAACACACCTTTACTCTATTTACGTTACATGACATCATCATATGGACCCACGGGAAATACACCTTTGAAGAATTTCACAAGGATTTCAACAACTTCTACCCCACCATCAACTTCAGCCTGGATCAGTCCACACAAGAAATCCACTTCCTTGACACTACAGTACAATTAAATAATGGACACATTTCCACCACCATATACCGGAAACCCACCAACCACTAAACTTACCTTCATGCCTCAAGCTTCCATCCCAGACACATTTCACAACCTACTGTATTCAGCCTAAGATACAATCAGATTTGCTCTAATACCAGACAGAAACAAAAACCTACAGGATCTAAAGAGAGCATTCTTAAAACTGAAAGACCCACCCAGAGAAGTGAAAAAACAGATTGACAGAGCCAAAAAAGTACCCAGATGTGAACTCCTTTAAGACAGGCCCAAAAGAGAAAACAGAATTCCACTTGTCAACCCTACAGTCCAGAACTTAAACACCTCCAACACATTATCAAATATCTACAGCCTATCCTGGAAAATGACCCCTCACTCTCAAAGGCTTTAGAGGAAAGGGCAATTCTTGCTCACAGACAACCCCCTAACCTGAAACAAATTCTTTCCGGTAACCACGCAACACAGCTACATCATAAGCATCCAGGAACCCATCCCCTGCAAACAGCCCTGATGCCAACTCTCCCCACACATCTACACACGCTTTTTCATCACTGGCCCCAACCACATCAGCCACCTAATCAGAGGCTCATTTAACGGCACATCCACTAGTGTGATCTATGCCATCAAATGGCAGCAATGCCCCACTGCCATGTATATCAGCCAAACTGGACAGTCTCTATGGGAAAAAATTAATGGACACAAATCAGATATCCAAAAAGGCAACACACGAAAACCTGTTGGAGAACACTTTATTCTTCCTGGACACTCATTAATGCCGTGGTCACCAACAGGTCGATCAGCCAGTCGATCGCGAGGCCTCGACCAGTCGATCGCGAGGTGGTGTCCTGTCCGCCCTGCCCCCATTACCCTCCCACCCCCGAGAAGCCCCACTACCTACCTCAAGTGAAAATGGAGGAAGTGTCGGCTTCCTGGGGATGGACAGAAGTCCCACAGCTTAGCGCCACTTCTGGCGATTCCAGAAGCTATTTGACTTGGCAAACTTGGACACAAAAGTCACAATAGAAACTATGTCTCTGTTTTCTTCCCATGTCATGAGTCTTGGAGCCATTAAAAGCACAGTGGAAGGGAGAGCCTTTAAATCACCATGGCTTGTTTCTCCACCATTGCTGGAAGCATATGGGGGCTCCTCTTCAACAGTGCAATGTTTTGCTTCCTATCAGATGGTATTTTTTGCTAATTATCCTTGGAGAAGCTAATGTTTTTTTGGTAGGGAAATAGGGGATAGGCATGCTGGGTCCGCAAATTCTCATCCAAGAGCTGAGTATAGGGATGCGTCAATCAATGGGGCTGGCCCTACTGAATCTGAGAGATTTCCAGGTGACACCTCAAACTCTTCACCCATCTTTTTTGATGAAACTGAGTCAACTACCTGAGCCTGCTGGCACCTCTATAGTCCCTCCTCCAGCACCACACCCTTGAACAGCTGCCCCTCCCATGGACTGCATCTCTTACCACCCCCAGTATCATCCGGTATCAAACCCAGGACCAGTGCCCAGATCTGAGGGATCCCCCCCACCCATCTTGGATTAATTTCTCACCCACCCATCATCATCATCCAGTGCTGCCCTTTGGGCCAGTGCTCCTCAAAGGAGACCCTCCCCTGCCATGGGCTTCATTTCTCACTCACTCCCTGCAGGATTGTCCAGCTCCACTTCCTTCATCCCCCCGACGCCTCTCCCTGGGCTGCACAGAGCTAGGCAGTGTGGGGAGAAGTGGCTTCCCCGCCATTGCTGAAAGCATATGGTGGCCCCTTTCAATACTGCAATTGGGAGCGAGTGGGGGGATGGCAGGATTGTAGGGGGGTGGGGCTGGACCATTGGACTACATAGTGTGCCAGAATGAGTTATCCAGATATGATTCTTCTTGTCAGTGATCCATGCTAGCCCTACTGATCACTCAATAAAGTTAATGTTCCTTATGCAGCTGGAACAAATACATCTCTGTATCTGAATAAAAATGACAAGGATCTTTGCAGACCTGTTTAACATCCAGGTTTCCACACCTTTTCAGAATGTGACTGTCAGGGGGGCTCCCCCCTTGTTTGGGGTTGCCGCCCCCATCTGGGGCATAGTTCGGCTCACCTGGGCCTAGCCCCAAAGTGCAATGCCCCTCTTTTAGGGGTAATACGGCCCACTGGCCTAGTCCCAAAGTCAGCTGCCCCTGTATCGGGGGAATACGGCCCACTGGCCTAGTCCCAAAGTCAGCTGCCCCTGTATCGGGGGAATACGGCCCACTGGCCTAGTCCCAAAGT